GCCCCGCTGGAGCCAGCGGCCAGGGCGGGAGCGCAGCTCCGATCCCCGGGGCTGGGGGAAGCACGGTCAGGGCAGGAGCGCTGGGGCAGTCAACTGGGACAAAGCCTTGGCACGCAGCTGTTGTTGGAGCCCCGGTGCACACGTGTGCCTGCCACGTGCTCTACGCCCGCCCTGCCGGCCAGGAGGCACACAGGTCACTGGCCCCGGCTCTCGCCACCCCAGCGCGGTGCTGGAAGGCCAGTCGAGGTGACCGGGGACACACCTGCAAAAACAGCCAATCTGGGACCGACCGCGGCACCGGCCGAGGAGGAACCTCTGGCACCTGATGGGGCAATGGGAAGCGGGCAGCAGGGGAGCAGCCGCTGTGGCTCAAAACAGGGAGTGGGTGCTTAACCCCCCGCAGAGCCCCTTAAAAGCCTCTTCTGCCCTGCGAAACCCGACAGCTGCAGAAATAGTGGGGTGTTCTCCTTCCCACCTCTGCAGGGTATCACTTTCAGCTGACTCTGGTAGAGCCACTATGACCGAAACAACAGGTTACTCTGGGTGAGTAACAGGGGAGGGTCTGAATTTGTTTTAATAAGACAAGAAAAATGTTCTCTGGGTTTTGTTTAAGCCTCATTTATAAAATTGACCTGTATTGTTACTTATTTGCTTTCCATCTATTAAAGCAGGTGGAAAGGGAAGCCAAACCGGCCTCCCGCTGTCTGCAGAATCTGATTTAATTTGCACTTGTACTGCTAGGCAGTTATTTGGGACAATATAGATACAAAATCCCGATTTGCTAAAAGCTTAATAAGCTGCCGCGTACAAAACAGCACAGTACGTCACCCGCTAGATATTTCTGGCAGAATTATGTGAAAGAGCGAGCCAAGGTTGCCATTGACTGAATTGATGATAAATATTGAGAAACGTTTTTTGCCAAATACGCAGACATGGTAAGAGAGATGCCGACGAGGTTACCGACAGCGGTGGGTGTAAGGAGGAGGACAGCCTGTGTGACAGCAGGGCTCTGGCAGAAAGGCAGTGGTCCCAGACGCCACGTGGAGCTGGCTCGTCTCTGTCCCTGTCCAGTCTCTTCCCTGACACCAGGGCCATGCCATGGGCAGGCCCCGTCCTGCCCTGTCCCTGTGGGTGCTGCGCCGTGCCCCTGACCCATTGTCGCCCCGTCTCCCCACAGCAGTGGGCTTGTCCACATTAAAAACCCGCACCTGGACTCCATGGAGGAGGACGTTCTGTATCACTTGGACTTGGGAACCAAGACGCACAACCTGCCGGCGATGTTTGGGGACATAAAGGTAAGCAGCAGGTGCAGAAGCGAGGCAGCAGCTCCCAGCCCCACAGGGCTCTCCAGCCCCTCGTCCCACGGCTCTGCTCCTCGCTGCTGCGGATGCTGCCACCGGGGATGGGGTCTGGCTGCTCAGTAAAGGCTCTCAATGACCCAGGGCAGCCCAGGCAGGGATGCTGTACATCCTTGCTTGTTTTGGCAGAAACCCAAACAGAAAATTATCCTTTTAAAAACCTGTAGTTCCATAAAACCTGATTTTATATTGGCTCCCATGTTAGAGGACAGACAGAGGAAGCATTTGTCCAAAGTGTCTGATCATCATCATCTACTAGAGAT